GGACGAAGAGGAAGAGGACGGGAATTGTATAGCTATTTTGTGAGCGGCCCTGACCCTGGGAAATAGTCAAAACGATTCTTATAACTGTGAGACTTGATTTGTATGTTCTCACTATAGGATACTACTGGGTACTACTTCGTATAACTATGTGATTTCACTTGATGATGTTCTCTCTATCAAATATCACTGTCGGGTACTACTGGGTACTACTGATATAACTGCTTGACTTATTTTATGTGTTCTCACTGCCAGGTACTACTAGTAAAACTGGGTATAACTATGAGACTTAAGTAGTGTGTTGTTTTTGTTTACGTTTTGTTCATCTGATTTGTGTTTTTAGTTATTGCTGCATTTGGACTAATTCTTATCTTATCTTAGGTACTACTTAGTTCATATGTTTTTACAAAAACTAATCTTACACTAAAACTTTTTTTTTTCTAAAACTATCTTACATATATATGTTAAAGTGTGAATGAAAATCATAGTTGTTATGTCGAACAACAAAAAATTATGTTTTAAGAAATGTTAATATATGGAACTATAAGAAATATATTTAATTGGAATAATTTGAGGAGTGCTACTACAAACATCATCATTTGAACCCCATATAACTGATTATACATGAAAAGTATCAAAATATAACTATGTGTAATATGGTACTACTAGATAAATAAGTATGACTATAAGTAAAGTTTTAGTATTTTAAATTCATATGACGGCGCATGTGTTAAATGTGGTATTTGTTTATTATTTTTTCAAAAGCATGTGTTTAATGCTGAAAATAACCTTGTACACTAAAACACCAATTGTACCAATAATAATCAGTAGTATCTTAAACCACCAGTAGTACCAATAACAATCAGTAGTATATTAAAACACCAGTAGTACCAAAACATGTTTAACCTAGAACATAAAGTTCAACATTACAATCAAATCCCAAGTACCTAAAACACATTAGTTTACCATAAAACACACCCTTCAACATACCATCCTAAAACATCAGTTCAAAACACAAAGACAACTTTCTCCGCTTTTCAAAGAATACCGGATAGAACAACTCTCGTGGATCACTTGATTGCCAGTTTCCACCACCCTTTTTCTCTGCTTCTTTAGGACGATAAACCTCTATCCCAGAAACATTTTTTAGATAATGATTCCGTAATGACAAATACCAGAGACTCTTCTTGGCTGGTTAACTCAATCGATGATCTGTAACCCTTGTAAAGCGGATTCTCTATAGCTTGGTATCTGAGTATTTTGGATGGTATTCTCTCTTATTCAACACAGCGAAGGTATCCATTGACACAACCTATAAATTACCAAATGACAATATCAGTTAAGCATCTTCTTTCCGAGATTCGAAAAGCCAAAAAAATCTTTCGTTTTACTGACTTTCAAGAGAAGTCGCGACATTCATGAAATTCTTCACAACAAGGTTATGAAGATCCTCTCCAGCCCAAATAAGATAGATAAACATATTGACACCTAAACTAACACCAGATCCAAGAGCTATAAGCAGAAACTGTGATAGAACCACTTCTATGAACTGCCATGTTCTAAACCCGGAAATCAGAATATAACAATACGTAAGCAAGAAAATCCAGAAACCATACTCATAAGCTTTCATCGCCGAGTATAGTTTCATGAAAATTGCAATAAAACCTGAAACAAAAGAGACACCTATTATAAGCATAGAGAAACCCAAAATGATGCTTCCAACAGAATTTGAAAGAATGGTGTAAAGCATAGAAAACACACCAATGCAGAAGATACTAATGGTACAGAATAACTCATCCCAGTTTCCGCTTAGTGTCAAAAGCTCAACCATTCCAAGAGCAAGTCCTCCAGCTGATAATGTCCCAAGTGCTCGATCAAAACTTGCCTAATATATTAATTTTAAAACAAAAAATGATGAATTCAAGAAATGAAAGCAACGACACAGAAACAAGGCAAAATCATGGAAAATTCCAATCGAATGATTGATTTACTGATCGTGAATTCGAAGACGACGACGACAGTAAGAATAGCCCAAACAGATTAACGGCTGAGATCCGGATTAGGTTCCTGAAAAAAAATCAAAACCGCTACAATCGTTAGAGCAAGACCCATCTTCGCGGAGAAGATGATATTTCTCGGATCAGATACACCCATCTCCCAAGCTTTCCTTC